AATGTTGCTACTGCAAGAATGGTATCTGGATTTGAAACCTCTAGGAGATGGTGCACATAGAAATTATCTGATTTCCCTAAAATCTCTCCAATTAAGGGAGGATATACATTGATCTGATGTCCCTGTAGAACTTGCAATGCAATATAAGATATCTTCAACTCCCCCATTGCCAAATGTACACATTCTGCTCTTAGGAAAAGTCAGATCTTTCAGATACCTTGCTGGTTTCTACACACCCCATTTAATACGATTTCTGCTGTGGAGAGATATCCTGTTAAATTCTAGCTGGAACTGTATGTCTCCTATTCTATTGGTAACCACTTGCTAGGCTTGATCCTGGGATATAAAAAACAGTGGGGAAGGTCCATAGAAGGCCAGCTTATGCTCCATTGCTTGTTCGTAGTGGGAGGGGAAGTTGTCTATCAGGACTAAAAGGGTCAAACCCACTGGGAGGAATGGAATTTTCAACCAGGCCCTTATTTGAATTTGAGCCATTCCTGTCTCAATTCTCAACTGCGCATTTGATGTCACGTTAGGTGCAGCTAAAATGGATCGCAGGAATTTTGTTTGTATGGTTTCTTTCTTTAAAAAAATCCTGTTTGTGCCCCACAGAGAATTTGTCTCAGTGTTTTAGCCTCAACTAGTTTTAAGGCTGCAGGAACTAATTGTCCTCCACCAAGGTAAAAAAAAGTGTTTTGATGGCCTTTGAAGACCTAATGGCTGATTGCATTGTATGGTTCAGATGTGCCTTCCAAATACCTTTCTTATGGAAAACCATCCCAAGGTACTTGAATGTCTTCATCCCTGGCATACTCCACTTTGTGCACTTATTGAGCCAGATAAAGTCCCTTGTGGGTTACACCTTACTTTTAAGGTGGAGTTAGAATATAGTTTTTGTATGGGATAGGGGAGGGGTTTATCAATAGCAGTACTTTTTAGTTTATTCCAGAGAGTACTTCTGGATATCTAATCAAAGGATTGTTTAAAGTCAAGGAAGGCTACAAAAAGAGAGGATTTCTTTTTATATGTATATTTTTGTACAAGGTGGTGAATACCAAAATATGATCAACTGTTGATCTCCCTTCCCTGAATCCAGCTTGTTTGTCTTTAATTATGCCTTCCGAGATTATCCAGTTTTGAAGTTTGTGGTTTAGGTGTTTAGCATACAACTTGCTAACAACACGCAGTAGACCTGTAGTTTCATGGATTGTTTTTATTGTTTGGCAACTGGTTCATATTTATGGTGGTTGCTGTGTCTTTGGGTCATGTCACCTTTTGAGATCCTCTGTTCTGACCCAAATCTGGTTCCAAGAAAGCAAACACAAGACAAAGGCAGCAGATAAAAGGTTGCTTCCAACTAATTAGCTCCGACAAGAAAGAGCCTTGCCAAGTTTTTGCAAGGCTGCCAAAAAACAGCAGATAAGAGTTTACAACACAAGAGTCTTCAAATACCAACTGTAATGTCCACGAGGCTGAATTTCAAAACGTCTTTGCTTCCTACAAAGAATGTTCGCTGCACAGCTGCCTTTTATCTTCTTGAAGGAGGGGCCATTACCTTGTAGCCTTACTCCCGAGTCGCCCATGCTGTTGTAGCTGCTCTTTCCTGCGAGCAATCCTGCACGCACACGCACTTGGCACAGGCTCCTCGGGAACCTCCTCATCGCTGCTGCCAGCCCCACAATCTCTGAAGGTAGCAGTCCACTCCCTAATGGTCCTGGCCCCTCATCTGAGTCCTCGCTCTCCTCAGCTGTCTGCAGGTGATGCCGGCTAACCACAACATCCTCTGACAAGCAAAGTCAATGGGGAGGTGAGATTCATTTAACAACTGCAGTGATTCACTTAATAATTGTGGCAAGAAAGTAACTAAAATGGGTCAAAGCTCACTTAGTAACTGTCTCACTTAGCAATATAAATTTTGGGCTAAATTGTGGTCATAGGTCAAGGGCAGCCTGTTTTCATGGGCAAAAATGGCAACAGAAAGTAACATCACAAAACAAAAGGGAAACAGGGTACCTTTCCATTCTTGTTTTCATTCTATTTTTTAAAGTAATATGCAGTATATTTTAATTCCAATATAAACTCAAGAACACGAATTTGAGATATTCCATTAATAGATTTGTATTCCAGAAATGGCTTTGAAATGAGATTTCCTAGTTTTTGCAGCCTAACAGCCTATTGTTTTCCTCCACTCACACTGGATAATGACTTACAGACTGGGAGAAGAGATCTAACAGTTCACCCATTCCCAAGAGTAATTATATAATTATGAAGGGTTGTTGATACTAAAACTGAAACTCATGATGAACTATAGTTAGTATTGCTGGGGAGCTCTTAGTGCTTCTGCCTTTCATCCAGTATTAAAAAATAGCAAAAAAAAAAAAAAATGTTTTAGGACCTCTGGCCCAAAGCTCAGGAATTAACAAACTTTGTAAGGAACTTCGTGTCTCTCTTGAAATTCAAGGATAATTCTGTGCTGCCTTGCATGTAATTATAGTTTAACTGTAACATTTGATTTTTAAATCAGTGAGATCAGATCTCTAGATATCAAAAGTTTACTGGAAAAGCTTTACATAGTCAAAAATAAGATAAAGCAACAAGCACAGAAAACTCAAATTAAAATTGAATTTTAATGAGTCTATGGCATGGGTGCAGGATATCTGCAGAACCATCCTTCCCCAATGGGATGGGCCCACCCCACTTGTGCTGGCAGAAGGGGCCTACTGTGTAGCTGGTGAGATCCCCTTGGAATATTTTGCTGCAGGAGGTAAGACCCCCCCCCCCCCACACGCCTTTTAGCCTTCAAGAAAAATTTTAAAACTTGGCTATGCTGGCTGGCATTGAGTTCTGAAGGAGAAGCTGTTGGGCTGGAAGTGGTTGGTGCATTAAGACAGAAAGCACGTCTTAATGTCGTGCTTGTCCACCTACCTCATGGTTTTTTAGTGAGCTTTAATTTTAATATTTTTATACTTATAATTGTCTGGATATGTCTACATTTTATCATGCTGTAAGCCACTCAGTCACTTTGAACTGTGAAATGGGCACCAAATAAATTTAATAATAATAATGTTATTTAATATTACTGTATTAACTAGATCTATAGGATCTTGAGACTTCAAAAGTTTTACATTGCAGAAAGGCTTGGGATAACTCATATGGAACAGCTTATCCATTCAGATCTTTCAGCATGGCATCAACTTACCAGATGTGCCAGTGGCTTGCCAAAAACCAGCCCCTGCCCTTCCTCCTGAAGTTTGGCAGACCTCTACTCCCCTGGTCTTTTGCACAGCACTGAAGACCTGGCTTTTCCAACAACTGCTAGGACAAGATGAGTATCATACCAGGTTTTTCTTTAATGTGTTGGGTTATCATTTTAATATGGTTATTTTAATTTTAAATTGGAAGCTGACAAAGTTTGTTATAAGATGGGCAGCTATATAAATGTTTTAAATAAATACGAGTTTTTCAACCAGGAGTTGAATGGGAGAAGTACAGCCATATTAGTACTGAGACCACAGGATGTCAACACTCTGGTCTGTCTGGCACGCTATAGTAGCTTCATACAGTCTTTCCTGAAGATAATGCTGCAAGATTGTATTGGCATCTCAGTTCTTGTCTTCTAATGTCCCATAGAATTCCATCTTGTTCTGATCATCACCCACTCTTACAATAACCAGTCCAGTTCTTAGCATAGGGCAGGGAAATGTGTTGTGGCTGATGCATAGTGATGATGCAGCAATATTACCATTTGGGATAAAACTGGGGGTTGTGCCTCCAGCAACCAAACAGTGTGCTTTATGGTTGAGATTTCAAGCATTGAGCATTGAACAATGTATTCTGGATTAGATGTAAAAAAAATGATATCCCAAACACCTTGTGTGTTTATAACACAGCATGGAACTGCTTTACAGGATGTTCAGAGTGGCAACACCCCCTTCCCCAAAGACACTAGAAACTGATCATTTCATCCAATAGGTTTCATATCCAATGTTTTTATTAGTTTGTAGATTATTTTAAGATTTATCCCAAGAAGTCAATGTTGGAAATGTACTACTAATGCCATAAAATAAAAATTCCATGTTTCTTTGTTTTTGGTATAATATGATGTTATTTGTGCCAAGAGATGGCTTCTGGTGGAACCTACAAAAAATGATTGTCCATGTTTTTGTGAGAGTGAAACGAATCATTCTGTACAAAAAGATGCAATCCATAATTTCCCATGGAACCTGGGGGGAAAATCACATGAAATAAAGTTCTGTGTCAGATCTCCTGAAGAGAACTTTTATTAAGTTTCCCACAAATGATGCAAACTTCCCAATTAATCTACCTCTTTCCAAGATCTATTGGATAAAGTTGCAGAGGGATCATTTTAGAAAATGTGCATGTTCAGTGTTCCAGCTGCACCAAGGGTATCCAAAAAGAACCCACTTTTTGGATTTCCTTTTTTTTAAATCAATTCAATTCAGTTTATTACAAAGACCAGAGACCAGAACAAATAAAAACACTCGGTAAATATCAGTAAGTAAAATTCTACCATAAAATAATAAATAACAATTAAAGCCTATGATAAAATCCAGCTTTTTAAAATCATCGTTATGAGGAATGCTCATGGCCCATTTGCTTCCTTTTTTAAAAAAAAATTCCTTGTGAATTCCTCTCTGTGGGCAACCCCGCTGGCTTTAGTTTCCCTGTCGAAGGTGCGTAAACACCAAGAAAGAAGCTGCAACCTCCTCTCATTCAGTGGCTCGCTGAGCAAAGCGATGGATGTCGCCCGGTTATACTTTCCGCCCTAGAAGCAGCTAAAGAAACGGCTCGTTCGTTACGCATCTCGCGCGTCTTACATGGGATCTTTCTTGCACCCCCGCGGCAGGTTAGTCCGGCAAACCTCCGCTCCGCATCTCGTCAGAAACTTAATTCTCCCCAAGCCGCTTCTGTCCCTAGACTTATTTACGTACAGCGGACCGGAAGCTGCGCCAAATGGCTGGCTCAACCGCGCCTGCGCGCTGTAGCTTTTCGCACCCGGCTTCGCCTTGCGTAGAGGGAGGGGCGCCTGTGCGCGCCTTGGGCCCAAGAAGGATTTTGGTACCGTGTAGGCCGGCTCTTTAGCCGGCCGCAACCGCAGGTATTGGGGGTGCTGGTGGTAGGTGAGGTGTGCGCGCCTGATCCGAGGGGGCGGCCTTGCGTAAGAGAGAGCGGCCGCAGGGCTGCGTTTCGTCCAGGGCTGTGAGCAGGCCAGAGAGGAGGGAAAAGGAGTGTGCGCGGCCTTTTGATTGGGGGCGCCCGCAGGCTGAGCCTGGCGTCCCCCTAAAGGGGAGCGGACTGGAGGGGGCGAGGGGCCCCTCGAGAAGTCGGCAGGGCTGCTGCTTCTTACTCGCGGGGCGTTGAGGTGGTGACTTGCGGCGCTGGAAGGTAGGGGGTTACTCGGGAGGCATGAAGTAGCTGGACATGGCCTATCTTCGCCTTCCAGGGTTTAGAATGAAAGTTCCCCTTGGCATTTCCCTACCTGGGATGGTTTGATAGTTCCAGGGACTCAGCTTGGCACCTGTGGAAGATTTGGGTACCTTTTGCCCATTGTATGAAGCTTGGTCCTTTTTTATAAAATACTGAACAGAATTTTCACACCAGTCTTATTTCCTTTGGGGGGCGGGATCAGTCCCTGTCAATTGCCCCTCCGCCTCCTTGTACAAAGAAGCGAGTCTTGCCCAAATATTTAAGAGTATGCAGATCTTTATTTTTCTGTTAATTATTATCATTAGACCCAGAGTGTAGCTGTTTCAGAGGAGACAATTAACCAAATTGTTTTTCTGAGAGATAACAGTATTGTAAGTAGTAAATCCTGTCGACTTGCACATAACTTCAGGGATTTCTGAGATACGACAAATAACCATTCTTGTGAAGTTCAGAGGTCAGTCAGTGAAATTCCATACACACGGAATTTCATATCCATCTTTTTTCCTCATGCCTAGTTTCCTTCTTTGTAGCTGTTGATTTTGGATTCTTCCAGAATCAAAACTATATAATCACTTAGCCAACCAATTAAAAAGGATTGGTATCCTGGATAGAGAAATGTTAGATATATTGATATTAAAGATGGATTATAATCGTAGATGAGTGTTTTGCACTCATTCTGTTTACAAAGTGAATTTCACTTCCATAAAAGATCAAGTACATGGTTTAGGTATTCTCCAATTCAAAGGAGGACAGTTAAATCACTATGAGAATGATTGATATATTTTTGATCCCTCTCTCTACTAACTCTAACCCTGTACTGTTTCCAAGTGAAATTCAACATACTGGTATTTACAAAATCCTAAACAGTTTACATTCAAGCTACAAGTGGTACGTCTCTTTTGGTACTTATCTACTTGGACCTTAAGTTCTTCCTCAGAGTTGCTTATCCTGATTAATCAGAAGTATTCTGTTCCTTGGTATTGCTTCATAAGGAATGGTCTCCCCAAGAGGATCACTTATAATCTTTGTTATGGTACTTTGGTACCATACATTTTTCCAGTTATTCTAACAACTTTTAGCACTTCTAGATTGTTTTATTGCTTCATTTTAAAGATATAGAATGGAGAATCTGTTTATTTTAAAACATGGATTTTAAAATTATGTTAAGTTGTGATATGTTTATACGTGTAAACTGACGTACATATACCAAGCATACATCAATTGTATCTTTGTACCTGCTTGTCCTTTTCTGGCCACATGTCCCTGCATATTCCTCAGGAACCAAATGTGGCCCTTGAGCCAGGCAAAGGTGAAGATGAGTTGTTTATCCAAATAAAGTTTAAACCACCTGATAATTTACGGCACCTGCCTATATTAAGCATATAAGAATAACTTTGACTCGGTGGATAAAAACATGTAAAGATTATTTATTGCATGCATGCTAAAATACTTCAAGCTCAGAGAAATATGGAATATTTTCTTTTAAAGCTACAATTCTTACATTTTCTTTGAGAATGATAATAGCACATACTGACCCCTGCCCTTATGTTCAACATGGATATGTCTATGAAATGCTACTTGGGGGTAAGGGAATCAATTTCCATTTCAATATTGTACAAGCATTATGTATATATAAAGCTGAAGTATTTGTCAGAGGGCTTGTGCTATTTATTTTAGGAGCATTGCCAATGAGACATGAAGGAATTCTTCAGACTGCTGTTTTTAATTCCTGCAATATGTTTTGGGTTTAACTAGATGTTTTATTCCATCTCTCTAGCTGTAACTTTCTCTTTTTATATATCAATCTGTCTAATTCACAGTGAAATCTATTGTAAATGACTAAATAGGTGTGATCTTAATTAAGGACTTTCTCTGAGCTTATTACTTGAACATATCATATTTTTATTTTTCCTCAACTGACATGGTTTATGTTTCTGGAATGGTAGCTCAGGGGAAGTTGTTTCTGTTTTCTTGGTCATTATATTAAGTACTTTGATTCTGAAATGGTAGTCTCTTATGTTTCCCCCCTCCACTGGAATTATTACAAAACACACTAGTTCTGTCCATGCTTATATAAAAGTATGTAAGTGGAACTTCCTAGTAAGTAAATGGCAAATGTTTTTCTGGATGCTTCTAAAATCTTTTTAGAAGATTTGTTGAATTTCTTAAGTTCTTAATTATCTGTCTTGTCTTATGGTATTATTATGCAAGTACCCTGTTCTGGTAAATTTTGTTTTAAAGCAAGGCATGCAACTTTTGTCAGCTTGAGGATTTTATATCATAGGGTTGAACTCTATCAGTAGGCAGAATAGATCCGTTTTTTGAGAGTTTGGAGTGAAATTGATGCTATAAGCCCCAGCAACATCTCTTCTACTTGTACCTGTCTACCGTGAGAGGTTTCATGGACAGCTCAATGAATGCTATATGGGCTGAACATTTTTGCTAGTTTAATTAATAACATTTATTTCAAAATAAAGATAATACAACAGAAAATTTTCTATTTATAGGACATCTCGGATAATGTTTAACAAAAGTTGGTTATAAGTACCTTATTTGGCAATGCATTTCTGTAGTTAGATTAACTCACATGGTCTCAGCTTATCCTGTGATTGACATATTTTGGACTATTTTCCACATATTATTTACACAATTATTAATAGAAAGACTTATGTGGCATTGTGATTTAATATTGTAGAGAATTCAAGGGTACACTCTCATGGAAACTCAGAGTTTCCTGCAACCAAGGCTACTTTCTAGGAGGGATATAAGGAGAAATTCTCAAGTAAGATAGCTCAGGCCCATGGAGGAAAGATAGGACACAAATTTAGTAAATAAGTAAATGATCTTGCTTAGTAAGGGTACATATGCATCCTTGGCTGTGTTTTATAAATTTGGAATTTATCAAAGCACCAAGAATTGTGGAGTTCTTGCACAGGGGAAGTAGTCAAAATAATAAATACAATAATAGATACATATATACTAGGATTGTTGAAAGGTGTAGCTTTTCAATGTTGGAAATAGCCTCTTTTTCATGTATTTTTTCTCTTTGGACAGAAGGATGAATAAGAGAATTTTCAAGCAAGTTGGCATACACTTTTGGAATTTTTCTGTTTCTGACACAATTTTCCAGGAGTTTTTTCCTTTACTTATTTACAATAATATATGTACATATTTTTCTCTTAGTTTGTTATATGTGTTACTTTTCTGAATTGTTTTTTCTTATACTACATTGTTATAAAATCACCAGATTTGAGCTGATCCCAACTACCTTCTTTCTGCCTGCCTCACCATGTCTTATTGTCAGTTCAACATGAAGCTTGTTGTCCATTTTATCTTAGTGTCTGGATTTATATATGGCAGTGTCTTTGATTTTATTTACAGCATTTTGATTACAGTATGTTTATGAAAATACAAAATGCCCCCAGAACTGATCATGCCCATTCCAGTAACATATTGTCATCATTCTCCAAGCACATGGAATCATTTTCTTAAGAAATTGTGAACTGTGCCACAAAAAAGCTCCTCTTAATTGAGTCAGTTTTACCTTTGAGAGAAATTCACAGACACACAAATCTGTCTATGGAAAAACAAGAAGAAGAGGAATAATAAAAGGAAGAGAACGGATGAGCCTAATTAATGAATGTTTCTAGAACTGGATGACAAGTCAGGCATTCAAATACAGGTTTATAGAGAAGACTGGCAAATTTGTAAATGAATTGAGAGGAAAGCTGGCATTTAATGCAAAAATATTTAGCTTTTGGTAGAGAATGGGTTCTTGATTGCACATTGTAAGCTTGCAGAGATATTGGGAATACATTGTTTAATATAATGCTAGAGGGAAAGGAGACAAATTTAGACTTTTCTATCAACCATGAACATATGAATGAGAAAGAGAAAGTATTTTGTGTAGAAATCAGATAACAAAAGCAATAGCACTTAGACTTACATACCATTTAATAGCATGCAATCATTGAACCGGTTGTTATACCAGTGGAATCCCACCCCTACTTCTACCTATAGAGATAAAGAAGCCTTCAGAACAAATGTTCAAATCCTTCCAGTTGTTTACATTAGGAGTTGCTTAGGGGTAGCAGTAGTTTTGGTGCCAAAGACCATTTGGACCATCTTTCAGAGTGCAGTGAAGGTCCATTAACTCAAATTCTTTCCTCAGATCTTCTTTTAGCCTAAAATCAGTTTATATAGAAAACTTATACTATATTAAGCTACCTAATTCACAACTGCATTGCTTGAGGTTGACTGACAAAATAATTATTTCTAATACTTTCTGTTACTGTGGTGTAACATAGTACAAAGCTTTCCTCCATCCTCTGTTTAAAATCCACTACCTAATAAGGCAATCTGCTTAACTGTAGGAGAGCCATAACCATTAGGGATTTTTTTTTCTAATGTCCATAAAACATCCATTTCCTTGTAATTTAAGCCAGTGATCCCCAACCTTTTTGACTCCGCGGCCCGGTACCGGCATCAGCTGGGCACCGCCATCTTTTTTTGATGAAAAAGTGCTTCCGGTGAGCTTTCTACCCGGAAAAGCTCACCAGAAGCACTTTTTTACCAAAAAAAGATGGCGGCAACCAGCGGCCCGGTAAGACTTGTTCCGCGGACCGGTACCGGTCCATGGACCGGCGGTTGGGGACCCCTGATTTAAGCCATTGTTTGTCTTCTGGAACAACCAAATGATTCTGTTTTTTTCTACACAGTAGCTTTTGAAGACTGCCAACATATCTCCCCACCATTTTCTCCAGATTAAGCATACCCAGTTTCTCCAACCCAGAACTAAGGAAAAATTTCCTGAAAATGAAAACAATCAACCAGCGCAATAGGTTGCCTTCAGAAGTTGTAGGTGCTCTACCACTGGAGGCTTTTAAGAAGAGCCTGGATAGCCACTTGTCTGAAATGGTATAGGTTCTCTTGCTTGAGCAAGGAATTGGACTAGAAGACCTTCAAGGTCCCTTCCAGTTCTGTTATTCTATTAACTATATTTGATAGATTCGTCTTTCCTGAACACTAATCTTTGCCTGCTTTCCTTTGGATATGCTTCTGTTTGTCGAGTTCTTCTTGCCTAGAACTATATGCAGTATTTGTAATCAATCTACAGTTGAGTTGCTGAGCAAAATTGGTTTATTGATTGTATCAAGGTGAAATAAATCTTTAAGATAAGCATGAGAATAAAATAAAACAAAAAGAGCCATATCCTGTTAGAAAACTCTTTTATGTATATGTGAAATTATTACCTGGTGAACGTTTTGGGTCAACATTGTCTGGAATTGTAAACTAAGACCGATCAGTATTTGAGAATTACATATATAGATATGGCTGTGAAATTCAAGTAAAGCTTGAGTTGAAGAATTCGTTACTTTTAGGTTACTTGCAGTAAGAATCTATTTGGGTAAGACTTTTTTGGGCTGTGGTTTTAGCTTGGTTAGATTCTCAGTGGTCAAGAAAAATTGAAGAATGAGCAATAAAAATGGGAAAAAAACAAGTCAGAAATCTAAATCTTTGTGTCTCTTTAACATTATATCTATAGTGGCTGTAAATTAGGTGAAGGAGAAGGGAAGTTGTAGAAACTTGAAAGATATCAACTAGCTTTAGTCCATTTATTAAAGAAAGAGGAAGAAATCACACTGATTCTTGGTTCATTTTTCCAGGTAAATTTATTCTGATTGCACCTATTTTCAGATTTGGCTTGTTCCAGTTTGCTTGCATTTTCTTCTCCTTTTTATTTTTGAGATTATGTTTGATTTGCTTGTTTTTCTTATTAAGGCAAGATAGTTGCTCAGAAATATCTCTAGTAATAATTAGACAAATGAGGCCAATATTAAGAAGAATAAAAATAGCTTATCAAACTGTTTTTTTCTCAAACAAGATAATTCCTCTAAACCCTTTTCACTATTGATTTTAAAGAATACGCTTGAAGTAAAAACATAAAGTTATATGTCACTTGGCACAGATTTCCTTTCTAATCTCTTCATTGTTTAGAAACCATGACATCTTCAGGAAAAGAGAATTTTCGACTCAAAAGTTATAAAAACAAGTCTCTGAACCCTGATGAAATGCGTCGCCGTCGGGAAGAAGAGGGCCTTCAATTGCGGAAGCAAAAACGAGAGGAGCAGGTAGAATGAAATGCTATGAACATTGAAAATGTATATGCATATACGTACACATACACTCATACATACGTACATATATATATACATTAAATATTTAGTGGAAAATCAAATTATCAAGGAGCCAAATGTTGACTTTATCTTCAAAAATAAGAAAAAGAATGTTCCAGGAACTAAAGGCCAATCAGTTTGACTTTGATACCTAGAAAGATGCTAGTGCAGTTCATAGTGACAGGTCTGTAAACATTTGAAAAACATTCAGTGATTACTTGAAATTAGCATGGATTTCCTAAGAACATATATTGTTAAGACTCATTTGATTTCAATTTCAAGGCATACGCATAGCCTTTCATGCTGTGATCTCACAGAAAATGCAGAGAATATATAGATAATAAATAAAATAATAAAAGTTGAGATAGTGCAGCATTGCTATCATTCTTATATATTAAAGGGGAATTGTTTATTACTTGTATACTCCAAGTGTTAGAGCTCAGCTGTTTTTTGTACCCAACTAAGCTTGTACCATTCCTTGTTTTGAGAAAGCATTCAAATTAAATTTCTAAGGAACATTCCAAGCTCCTTGCTGTGTCTCCAATGCAGGTTTTTTTTTTAATCTCATGAGGCTGGCAGTATAATTAAGACCAACACTTATTTACACATTATTAGATACTGGGCCAAAATTTTCACATACTGCCCCTTTAAGTCTGGCACCCTGGATTCTTATTGATAAGTTTGATGTATCCTGGAATTTCCTTAAATCAGCCCTGCATGTTCAAACATGAGAATGAAGCAAAAGTTTTGAGAGAGTGAACTGAGGATATTGCTAGCCAATTAAACTAGCATTTCTTCCCAAATATATTTTTTGACTAGCCTCTTCATCCTGCTAAATATTTACCAAATCAACCCTTTAGCATTTTCCCTAGCTCAATTCAATGGCCACCCCACAGCAGGGAGATAAAAGGGCGTCCCGTTGGCAAAGGCTTTGCCCATGTGACGAAAGGGCTAACAAAACTATAAAATACATTTATTACAGTGCATCTTTTAGGCTGGCACACGTTTAAAGAAATCTGGTCATTCTTATTGGCTCTGTTTATAATTTTTACTTTCAAAGGGACATGGTTCTCTTATTGAAAGTTTATCTAAATTTTGTTATGTGTTATACAAAATTTACTGCTTCCCATGTACATGTAACAAGTTTCAGATTGGAATACATTTTATTATATACTGTTCATTGAACATACTACATATTTTTTTTCTTCCCTATTACTTAGAAACTTAAATTTCTTAAATTGTAATTATGTTCTTGTGAAATAATAAGGAAGAAGAAAATATGAGCTTTTGGACATGCTTTTGGTGTTTGGTTTCAAGTACTGGATAAAAGAGTTCTACTCATAATGTTCTTTCTAACATTACATGAATTTTCTAAGTATAATTGTGTTGCAGTAATTTAAAGAACTTTATATTTTATATGAAATAATGTAAAATATGTTTAGTATTCTGCTACTGGAAACTATTGAAATTCAGAAAATCTCTTTTGTTCTACCCCAAGGCCAAAAAAATTAGTAGTGCTTTCTATTACCTACTCTCCAACTTAACAGAAAATATGTCACTGATTATTTTAAAATATGTGAAATAAATTGTTTAATTAGGAGCTGTGAGCCCCTTTCAATATGTAGCTCTGTGACTCCCAAACTAAATTAACTAAGGAAGCCAGCAACTAAGAAAGTTTGGAAACTTTTGATTTAGTTGATAATCTTCTGGAAAGGTTAGTATTTCATGTTTTAAAGCTGTTGTACAGGCAACTGAATGATCCTGCTCCTCTATACTCTTACGTCCCACTTAAAGTGGACTAACAAAACTGAAATTCAGAGGCCGCTACTTTAGGTTAAAGGATATTAGTAGCTGTTTGTCATTCTGTTATGGATGTACAGCAGAATATCTACACCAGGGGTGTCCAACCTTGGCAACTTTAAGACTTGTGGACTTCAACTCCCTATATTTATAAGCTGGCTGAGGAATTCTGGGAGTTGAAGTCCACAAGTCTTAAAGTTGCCAAGGTTGGACACCCCTGATCTACACTCTTTCAGCTAGATCAGGGGTGTCAAACTGACGTCATCACGGCAGCATCATGTGATGTATCGGGATTTTTTTTTTCCCTTCACTAAACTGGGCATGGGTGTGGTCAGTGCATGACGCATCCGGCCAACAGGCCAGGAGTTTGACAGCCCTGAGCTAGATAAAGATAGACATGACAGCTGAAAGTGGGGGAGGGATAGGATTTTTCAAATACATTGCACAATATTTGTATTTTGCCTCAATTTTATACTCTTTTCCACAGTATGCAATTGATATAGAAAGTCTACACATCCCTGTTAAAATGCCAGATTTTTGATATGTTAAACAAAATCAGAAAAGATAAATTACATCATCTTTTTTTCAACCTTTAATACAACATATAAGCTGTATAATTCAATTGAAAAAACAAAGTGGAATCTTTTAGGGATAAAAATAACAATAACAATTTACAATAACGTGGTTGCATAAGTGTGCACGTCCTCATAAATTTGGAGCACTTTTGCAAGGAAGAATGGGCAAAGATTCAGAAGGCAAGATGCCAGACTCCTTCCTCAAAACACTGCTGTCATAAAATCAAAAGTGCTTCAACAAGGTATTTGTTTAAGGTTATGCATCTTTATGTTATGCATCTTTATGTACCTTTCTTTTATATTTCCCCCTAAAAGATTTCAATTTGTTTTGAATAGTACAGCTTTTATGTTATGTTAAAGCTTGAAAAAAAAAACTGATTTATCTTGGTCTGATTTTTTTTTACATTTCAAAAATCTGACACTTTAACAGAAATGTGTAGACGTTATATCCATTGTATATAGCTGATTGTATAATCGCAATTTTCTCCAACAGTTATATTATTTTGTGCCCCTCCTAGCATTTTTTTTCAAACATGACTGAAGAGGTTATAGAGTCTAGGACCTTATGATTGTTTGATAAATTGTGAATTGTTTTATTCTCTAAATTACATACTTTTAATTTTAATATCATTTAATATCATTGCATTTCTCTTCTAGTTATTTAAACGTAGAAATGTTGCTACAGCTGATGAAGAGACAGAGGAGGAAGTTATGTCAGATGGTGGTTTTCATGAAACTCAAATGAATAACATGGAAATGACATCTGTAAGTCCATAATAAAATGCCAAATCCAGTCTGAACATCTGGCTGACTGTGTGATCAGCCATTGTAATAATTTCATTATTGATCATTTTGAAAGCTATAACGCAAAACACAGTTTTCTGGAATCAAGATATCTACTAATTCATGAACAGTCTCAAAATAAGTACAGTGAAACCTCGGGTCACGACCGTAATCCATTCCAGGACTATGGTCGCAACCTGATTTGGTTGTGCCTGGAAGCATGACCATCTCCGCATGCACGGACCCAAAAAAAATTGACGCTGAAGGGGAAATCGCCACAGCAGAAAAAATCGCCATGGTGGTTTTCGGGTTTGCTTGGTAGCCACCCGAAGATCTGTTCGCAACCAGAAGCAAAACAGAAGCAAAAATTCTGGTTGTCACCTGATTTGGTCGCGACTAGAAGCGTTCACAACCCGAGGTTCCACTGTATATTTTATGCTACATTCTTGCCTTGGGGGGAAAAACCCCAGATAAATAACAGTTGGGCTATGCACTATATATGTGTTATTGTATTTATAAGCTATTTCCAGTAGTTTTAAGCCTCTTGCAGATAAACAATCTACACGGTATTTATGTTGCACAGTGACATAGTCATTCTGTTCTATATAGGAGAAACAATCTCTATAGTTACAGTATTTCTGCAGGATATTTGCAATGCTGGAGGGAAAACCCTAGCCTAACATCACTTTCAAAGCTATACCTGATTATTTAAAGGGGGAATTGAACTACTGAACTTCATTCTTGCTAGCTTTTGTCCCATATCTTCTTTCAACCTGATATTGCTTCTAGCAAAATCAATACCAGACTTTTTTACAGCCCTGATTGAATCTGAAACTTAAATAAATTGATTTTTCTTCAGAACTTTTTTTCTTCCATTCAGCTGTGCCTGATTCTAGACAAGTCCTTGCAGTTTTTTTGGCAATATTTTTAGAAGTGATTTGCCCTTACCTGCTTCCTAGGGCTGAGAACTGGCTTTGTGCCTAAGGTGTAAATTGGAACTGGTGGTCTCTGGGTTTGTATCCTGATGTCTTACCACTGCACCAAACTAGCACTCTCTGGAACTTAAGCAATGTATTATTTGAGTTGGGGGTATTTTTTGGCTGCCATTCTTTCCTAGCTAAGTGTTTTTGGTATTGTCTGGTTTTAATCCTATGTACAACAGAGAGTTGTAATTATGAGATGGGTGGTCATATCAATTGATATAAGAAGTAAATATAAAATAGACAGAAAATTTAGGAGAAACCATGTGTAGATTTGGAAGTAAATGCCCAGTAAGCATTCTGTAATTATCCATACCAACACTAGTTACCATTCCAGTTTCCCTCTGAAGCAGGGGTCTCCAACCTTGGCAACTTTAAGCCTGGCAGATTTCAACTCCCAGCTTTGCTGGCTGGGGAATTCTGGAAGTTGAAGTCCTCCACGCTTAAAGTTGCCAAGATTGGAAACCCCTGCTCTGAAGGATGTTTTAGTAATAAGTTTATGCTGAATCTCCATCAACACATGAGCGACATGTGATGGCCTCTTAGTGCTTAGAGCTGGAAAAGGCAAATCTTACACCTCCTTCCTTTTTCAGGCAAACTTTCTTTCAGATCTGTTCTTATCAAAAAGCCAACATTTCTAACTCACCTGAAATGCATAGATTCCTTTTGTAGAACCTACATGTTCTCAAAGCCTGACTGCCAAATCATTTCAACCTGAGATCTATTTTCTCTCAGGCTTTGGTCCCTGAAAGTCTTCAGCACAAAGCCAAACAGAGCTCTCAAATCTCCAAAAAATTATTTGTCTCTCAGAGGGACTTTGCAAGTTTGAAACAGATCTTTTTCAGGTCTCAAGAGACGATTTCCCATCCATCACTAATGCTACAACTGGATTTACAGCATTAAAAACTTATATTAAAAATACTTAGTCCTTTTGACTAGCTCCATCTTTTCACCTGGCCTAATGATTACAGCCTAACTTATTTAGCTACTTATAGCGAGATATTTCCCATTCTTTAGAATCACAGCTGCCCTGTTAGTATTCTCTGTTAATGTTCCTGCGACAGTGCTTCAATTTGATAAAACCCATTCATATTCAATAATGTACAAAATTAAATTGTCATGGCTTTGTAGAAGCTATTGAATGTTAAGTTTTGCCACAGGTCCTTTTGTTTCATAGGTTCAGTAGGTTGTTTCCATTCTATATAGTCTGAGTTATTCCATGTTTGGATGCCTTCAAACACCAAAGGGGAAAGAGAACTTTAGTCAACTACTATGAAGATCCTTTATAGTTTGGTGTGAACATGGTACAGGTAGTCCTCGAGTTATGACCACAGCTGAGCCCAAAATTTATTTTGCTGAGTGAGAAATTTGTTAAGTGGGTTTTGCCCCATTTTACAAATTTTCTTGTCACAGTTGTTAAGTGAGTCATTGCATTTGTTAAGTTAGTAACATGGTTGTTAAGTGAATCTGGCTTCCCCATTGAATTTGCTTGTCAGAAGGTCACAAAAGTTGATCTCATGATCCAGGACACTGCAACCATCATAAATACATGGCAGTTGCCAATCATCTGAATAATCATGCAACCATAGGGATGCTGCAACGGTTGTGTTAAAAATGGTCATAACTCACTTTTTTCAGAGCTGTAACTTTGGTCACTAAATGAACTGTTGTAAGTCGAGGACTACCTGTATTAGGTTGTATAGGTAGTCTTTGACTTACAACTACAATTGAGCTCAACATTTTTGTTAAGCGAGTTTTGCCCGCTTTTATGACCTTTCTTGCCACAGTTGTTAAATGAGTCAATTTAATTTTTTTGAATTTAGAAGCAGTGTTTTAGTTAATTTTTTTTCCATTTGGAATTGTAGAATGCAGTGATCACCTCCGACATGACTGAGATGATCTTTTCCAACAGCCCAGAGCAGCAGCTCTCAGCTACCCAAAAGTTCCGAAAACTTCTTTCAAAAGGTGAGTGCAAGAGTGCTAGAGAAAGTTGCTGCTCCTAGGCATGTCTTGTGAGTTTCCATCAAAGTTGTCCTATTATTAGCAGTTACTACACATCAACAGGATGCCAGGTAAGGAGCCGAGGAGTACCAGTGCCAAAGAAACCTCCCTGGATGCTCATCAGGCTCATTCCCGTTCAACTTCCTACATTAAAAAAATAATTAAAAACATTGGATGGGTGGCATCTTGAAAATGTAGAGCAAAAGTGCAACGATTTCATAATTTCTGAGAATGCCTGTGATCCCTAAATTCTCCTAGAAAAATACAAGCTGAATGGTTGCTTCCCTATATTTCAGTTTCATGTCCAGAAAATAGACAAAGGTAAATAGAGGTCGTAGGTCATGTCTTGGTGGAGGGTAAAGGTTTGTAGTTAGCATTCTGGTGCCTTGAAGCTATACAGTGAGGTAAATTCAGAATGTAATCCAGAGCATTCAGAGATATGTGCATTGCACCTGACTCAAATAATTTAAAGCAGCTGAATTTTTTTTTTTTTTTGGTCTTTTGTGGCTGGCACAGCAGGAATAGATTCTTAAGAAAAGCTACATTTAGTTAGGAATTCCTAACAGGTGTTCCATGTCTATCCCAAAATATTTTGCCTTTCACGTCCTAATCACCGCATTGCTCTAGCAACTGTTTATTCCAATTCAACTATATGCCCGCTCAATAATCATTTTGCAGCTGCACTCACATTGGGTTTTCAGAATACCCGATAATACCCACCATCCCAAAGAGGTTGTAGAGGAAAGAAATTTAGAACACAGTGTAAAATAATTCATATTTTATATAACTTTTATGGATAAATATATAGAGAAACAAGTGGATGAAATGATCTTATCTAATTCTAAATAATAATATATTTTAATTTCCTGTTCCATTCATCATTCATTCATATACATGTATTCATACTTACTACACTATACTTTGGGATGATGTCATAGAAAGCACAAAGTCGGAAAATAGAGAATGACCTAGTGCGTAAGTTGTCCGTAAAAGTTAAAATATGTAGATTTTTCTGTAGATGAAGTCTGCTCTTCTCTTTCTCAACAAGATTAGAGTTTATTCAGTTTTATAAAACAATGTGCATCTAGGGATCCAGTGTTTCACAGTGGAGGAAATTTTGCTTGTCTGGGTTGCTCTTCTCCACTCGACCTAAGAGGAGGATCAAAATATACAGTGTCTCTGATTTGAAAAGGTACTCGTCTTCCTAAAAGTCTTTCCCCGACCCCTCTGCAGCAGCCTCCCTTCCACAGACTATCCCGGGAGCAGCTCTTGGCTCGACAGCTGAGTCAATAGATTCCACTTGTGTCACCTCTGCAGGTGAACAGAACTCATTCAATCCCCATGAAGAGCTGAGAGCTTCCTACCATGGGGTAGGAAGGGATTAAGCCTAGAGACAACGAGCAGCCAATCCCCCATCTCCCACGACCAAGTGATCGGCGTTTCATCTGGACTTCTGCCATTGGATGCACCAGGTAACCTTGGCAGACTTCTCCCCACCCAATCCTCATGGCCTATTTCCCTCAATGGCAAAGGAGACTACACTACCATACAGGGAACCTCCTCTCTGTGTAATAAGTGAGGCAACCAATATCTTGAGGAAGAGAAAAGTTGCCACCTTGATGGGCATAGACTGCATCTATCCTTTTCAAGTGAATGCTCACCCAGCAGAGGAAGAGAAAACACTTGTTCCTATCTTTTTATTTTTCATCCTTCTATATTCTGAAGGAGTTTATCACAAAAACTGAAGGGGTAGGGCTGCTTCTTCCAGAGTAGGAGCATGTAAAATCTTTATTTGTACCTAACAGACTGAATGGGAGGAGCAACCCAGAAGAGTATTTCCCTCTATCCACTGAAGGAAAATGGATCTTCATGGAAATTGCAAGGAATTGTTTGCTTCTAGTAGATTTTGCATAGCATCTTTGCTGTTGGGTTCTTATTTTGTAAATCACTTAACACGCACAACATTTTTTGTAGTTTTCCTATATCTTCTCTCACATACCCTCACACACGCACCCTCACACACCCTTCTTATATTTATGTAATCATTTTCTTAATTCTGCAACACAAAATGAAGATCTAAATGCTACTCTTGGTCTTTATTAATACTTAAAGGCAATGTTTAATATCTGACTACTAGCATATTGAATATAACCAGTTGTTACTACTTAGTTTATCATGTTTCTTTTTTTTTAATTATGTTCACAATTTGTCAAAACTCAAATTTCCCACCTGTTGAATTACTGTTACAATTAGAACACTTTTATAATGTAATTGAAATTTGCCTTCCTGCAACTTAAATCCATTGTTCAATTTGGATTCTGTATTTTGTATTCAAAGAATAATTTCTGCGTGAGATATTTGAACAGGGCATTCCTATTCTCTTCTAAATATTCAGTCCTTAAGACTTGATTTTGCATAATTCCTTCAACCCACTTCACAGAACTTAGGTTTTGGTCCCTTGATCATCCTCATCACTTTTCTATGAACATGTTCCAGTTCTCTGGAATCCTGAATTCATTCTCCTGAATTCTTAAAATGTAGGCCCAGAATGAAACACAGTATTTGGGATAGTTAGACCAATGCAAAATGATTTAGAAGTTATAATTCTTTTGATCCAGAGTAAAGTTGTATTTGTCATTTTTGCAGCTACATCATCATGATTTCCCTTTCTAGTAAAGATATTAACTATCCTATCCAATTTTAAGCCATCTACAGAACGAATAAGCATTATTTATGCCTCCTAAATCAAGTAATTGTTAAAAATAACAAACAGTACGAAGTCCTAATACTGATTCTTATAATTCTATGCTTAATGCATTCATCTTTATCAGTGGAGGGATTCAAACATTGTTGCCACTGGTTCGGTGGGTGTGGCTTGGTGTGCACGCTTTGTGTGCGTGCACACACTTTGCATGCATGTGTGTACCAAATGCGCACTTTGCACAGGCGCAGAGGCATTCTAACTCGCCTCCTGCAAGCCTGCACGATCCCAGTTGCTTCAGCAGTTGCCGCACAGCACTCTTCTGTGCCGCGCAAAGCAGCTGCGCTTCAAATTCAGCGGATAAAGGTGAGTGTGGGAGCCTGGGCGGGCAGGTGGGTCCAACAGCAGAGCCAGCAGATCAGCGGAGAGGTTTGGTCTCCGCTGCTTATTGCTCCTACCACTCTCCAGAACCGGGCAGAACCGGTCGAATACCACCACTGATCTTTATACTCAGCAACTTTCACAAATTCTGAACTTTAGTTTTCAATAAATAGCACTATGCTTTTTAATTGTCATATGGGCTTCTTTTTATGCCCTTCATTTTATATTCACTGGAATTATTTGTGATAATGCTTTTAGTATCTCCTTTAAAAGAAATTCTTACGTATCTTAATATTCCCATAAGAATATTCTGCCACGGGATCCTCTTGATTATTGCTCTACATTTATTAAAATCCACTTTTTGAGGTTTAAAGTATGTTTTTGACTATAGTTAAATTTAATTGACTATTAATATTTTTGTTAGAATCATGCGAAGAACAGCTGACCTTCCTTCACCCTCTGAAGGTAATTTGACACAAATCAGAAATTTGATTAGAACTATACTTGACAGGGTTTTTCTTAGTGGTTGATTTAGATGATTAAACCCCTCCCCCTCCTTTTAAAAAATATTTGCAATTTGGTTTTAGATACACTTGCAGCGTCTTTTCCTTATGTGGGCAAACAGTAATTGACACCAACAATAGTAGTTTTTAATTTGTTGCCCCACTTATATTAACCCAGATGTTCTCTACACTATTATTAGATTTGTTCAGTTGAATTTCTGAGTAGATGTAGAGTATTCACTATTCATTTATTTAATATTTCCTTACCTGTTACCAAAGATACTCAAAATCAACACAAGGAAAAGTTAGACTTAAAATAAAAAATATTGAAAACATTTCAAAATGTCACATAAAAAGATGGCATCTTACACTTCTGTTTTTTTTAAATAAAGTTTTATTGAGTTTTAACAAAGCAAATAAAACCATCTTATTTGAGTACAGCATGGTTCCGGGTTATCACATTTCCATACAGACACAATTTCATATGCATATTCATCTTATGTATTCAACTTCATATCTTATTACTCTTTTTCCAACTTCTCACTCTTTCTCCCTTTACTTCTCTTAATTTTCTTTTATGGTTATCTCATTTTCTTCTTATTCAATTGTATTTCTTTTACCTAAATTTCTATATCTTTTTATTCATTATACTTATACTTTCGTCTGTCTTGTTTACAATTTCATATGTTCTCTTCCAACATTCTTAAAAAGCAAAATTCCCCCTATGATTGCCAATTGGAGTGCAACACCTTTAAATCTTATTGTTATTATCGTATGAAATCTCATTAAACATTAAATTTGTGCATTCTAAAATTATAACATTCAAATTTCTAATATCTATTTTATATCGTGTAGATCTCATCATTCAGACTCTGCTTGGTACTTCCCCTTGAAAATGTAAAAAGAAAAATTCTAAAAACATAGCAAAAACTATATATATATATATATATATATATATATATATCTATATATATCTATATATAGATATAGATATAGATTATAGATATAGATATAGATAGATATAGATATATAAACATTAGTAAACAAAATAGTTATTCAAATTCATTCTAGTACTGGTATGAGCCTTGTAAATCTTTCACGTTTCTTTTCAATATTTATCAATCTTTGAGAATAATTGAAATGTTTCCCTCCTTCATTATTATGTTAATTGTTAATAAGCATACCATTGGATAGTCATACAGTTTTATCTTATAAATTATTTACTATTAATAAGCAAAATAATTATTCAAATTCATTCTAGTGACTGGTATAGATTTCCTTATAAATCTTTCACATTTCTTTTAAATATTTTATCAATCTTTAGAAACAATTACAATGTTTCCCTCCCTTCTTTATTGCATTAATTTTAAACGTACCATTACATAACAATACAGTTTTATCTCATAGATTATTTACTTATTTCATTTCTAACTTATTACAGTATTCTACTGTCACAACACTATCTTTTGTACCTTTGCAGAATCCTCACTTTTAACTTAATTTAGCCATTGTCTCTGTGTTTTCTAGCTGAGCAAATACCTTTAATCCTAGTATGTTTCCCCTTTTTCTTTATTTCCTGTTTTTGTCCCTCATAAGTTCTTTCCCTTTCTATCTCCCCCCCCCTTTTTTTTCTCATCCCTTTTTTTATACCCTTCTCTCTCTAATTTTCCCTTCTGTAGTTTTCTTTTCTGCTTCTCCTTGCTGTTATACTTCTTTTTCAGACTATTTTTCTTTTTGGCCGTTCCCTTTGATCTCAAGTTCCTTTCCCCTTTTTTCCCCTTTTTACCACACTTTGCATTATTTGATCATTGAAAATGGCTTCTTCTTTGTCCCGCCCTTCTTGCTCTTGAAGTTCTTCCTTTTGCTTTTCATAGTTCAGGATCTCCATTTCAAAAAATTCAAATACGAAGCCAAAGGATCTTCCTCCCCTTTCTGCATCTTCTTTCTGTTTTTTAAGACTCATCTTCAATTCCTCCAGGAGTGATGCCATTTTAAACACTTTTGAACAACCACCCGATTGACTTTTAAGTCAAAACAGAAAAAGAAAAAAAAATCCAATGCCAAAAACTTTTTTTTTAAATCACCAAATGATCCCAAAATGTTCCTTCTTGTTTCTTTCTTTACTTTTCCTTTCCATGGGTTACTGTACCTTTTAATAAGATTTCAGTTACAATGTATCCTCGGGAGTCTTCAAAATTTCACTGTTAATCCTCTTTATTTTTCCAGGTGGCACTCCATTTTTTCATTATTCCAAGTTCCACCCTTTTGCCTCCACTCTTCTCCTTTTTAGGGCTTTAAAATGACCAAAGAAAAATCTTTATTCTCCTTTTGACCCTTAGATTTCAGCTTAAAGTTGCCTATTAGTGTAAAAATAGCTTAACATAAATTTCTTTCCATACCATTTGTAATTGTCAATATAAAGGTTAAAAAAGGGTTTTTAACTTCCTTTTCTCTCTCCTTCGCTGCTTAAAGATCTTCTTTCAGAAGTATCCCTCTAGATACTTTTAGATTCAGGGTACCTTGCTTAGATGTTCTCTGTTGTTTAGCCCGGTCTGTCCTGCTTTCCTGTTTGTCTTCCTCCTGCACAATCTTATCCAGTTGGGTTCTTCTTTGAGGTGGCCATTTCTGACCACCGCTGCAACCGCTTTCGGGGAAGGGAGTTTAGACCAACCAAGGAGGAGAGGTGCGGCTCCCCTCCACTCGACTAGCAATCTCCCCCCTCTTCACCACCTCTACGGGGTGGCTTCTGCCCCGAATGCGAAGGATCGGGGCGCTCCAGCGGTGAGCACAGATCGAAACCGCGCACGATCGCGGATTTTGGTCTGTCGCTGAAGAAACCCAAACCGGAATAGACTTACACTTCTGTTTTAAGGAGTAGAGTCAAGTCACATTTCTGAGGAAAATTGTTGAACAGGTTTAGAGGCTGCAGATAAAATCTCTATTAAAATAAAGATGCAGATATTTAGCATAAAATAGCTGGATTATTGGTAGTTACAGTTAACTGCATTGAAAGCTAATCCAATAACATTAAATTGAAGAAAACATATACACAGGAAAGAATGAAAAATATAGATCACAAATAGAATTGCTGAATTTCAGCTGCTTCTGTCTCTGTATTTGCACTATATAACAAAAACTCATTTTTGTTGCTTTCTCTTATTGAAGTAGAAATTGGGAAGCCTATTTCTTCTAGAATCACTTGTTGTATCATTCCCATGTGCTGCTTTTTAAAAATTGTCCTTTTCTTCCTCTCGCTGTGAAAAAAAGAATCGTTCAGCAAACACTCCTGTTTCTAGAACCATTCAGATAGCTAAATTACAGTTTGAGACTATTGAAGTTCCAACCATACCTGGTTCTACACTTTTGCATATTTGTTGTTGTCATTAGATGGGAGGAGGGATTGTGACATTGATCAGATGGGCACGCATCTCCTCGCCTGGCCTCGCATTCTTACAATGACTACTTTCAAATTCCTAGTCTTGAAGCAGGCACTTGCATGAAAAAAAATAAAATGTAAGATTTATTAAGGAAATAACATAGTGATAAAATGGCTTCTTTCAAGTCTTTTTACAGCTTACAGTCTCTAATGTTCTTTTCTCTATTATGGAGAAAAGGCCTATCCAATAAGAACAGGCCAGAGATGGAAGAGAAAGGACATTGAACTGAGATGGAAGGGAAGGGAAGGAAGGCTGAAGAATTTCAGTTTACCCAACTGGAGGCATGTTCTTTCGAGACAGACAAACAAAATAAATATTTTAGAAAAGGAAAGAAATAAAGGACAGAGTCCCTGTCTGCATTTGTTGCCCTAGAATTGTTTGGTTTTATAGGAGCAGAAAATCAATTGGTGAAAAGTTAAATTCTGTAATTTATGTTTGTGTGTATGTGAGAGATAGATAGTTGGGATGATATATGAGTGCACAAATAGTTTAAAACTTTTTGTCAGGATTCCAGCAATCGCCCTAATTAAATCATGATTCTTGAGCCAAACTTCAAAAAACTTCAAAGGATTCATTAGAGGCGACATACTGGCATTGCCCTGTATGGAGCCAACTCTGGCATATGTAATTTACAGTCACCTGTGCCCCCATTTCCCCCCTCTCCCCTGGGTGTCTCATAAACCAGATTCTCCAATTAAGCATGTTCACAGGCTGGGTAATTAAATATATTCACGGGCAAAAGCTCTGGTAGTTTAGTTATAATCTTTTAAAGGTAAGTACGTTCGATTTCAAACTGCTGCACTGCTCTTCCAGATTTCCTCCCCCCCCCCTTTTTATGGCAACTACTAAAACAGACATAGGAATGTTTTATAAGTTGACACCTTTAACATGAATCTATGCACTTCATACTAAATTTTATCATATATTTTATAATTAAAATCAGTTAAAAGTTGTTAAACTATGAGTTAAACTATGTGTTTATCATTTAATTAACAATTAATTATCTTAATTTTCATTTTTCCCTGCTCCCTTTTTGAGAAAATAGCATCTGGTTCAAAATATGTTTCAGTCCATATCTTAAAAGAATGATTTTGCATTTATGATACAGACCATACTGTAGCTATCTGCCCAAATGTTAAATTGCTTCATATTCAAAGAATAACAGTGTTATTTTAATATATTTTCATTTTGTATCATCTCAAACAGAACCAAATCCTCCTATAGATGAAGTTATTAGCACACCAGGAGTTGTTGCAAGGTTTGTGGAGTTCCTGAAACGGAAGGAAAACTGCACATTACAGGTGTGATGTTTGTGTGTGCTCATTAGTTTGTAAAATGCATATTCATACATAATTTTAAAAAATCTAAACTCACTGCAGTCAAGGTACTGTATGATAACTCAAAAACTTTTATCATTAAAATTTTTATTTTTACAAAGAACATGGTTTCATTTTAGTTTATTTCCACTCAGTGAAACCATGAATGTTAGTTTTTATTTCCTATTTATTTGTTTATAAATTGTTTAAATTCCCAAATGAATGCATAAGTACAGTGGTGGTATTCTACCGCTTATGCCCAGTTATGCCGAGCCAGTAGCAGCGATAAGCAGCGGAGATCGAACTGGTTCTCTCCGCCCCTGTGCTGTTGGGCCCACCCGCCCTCCCGGTCTCCCATACTCACCTTATCCGCTGAATTTGAAGCGCAGCTGCTTTGCGCAGCACAGAAGAGTGGGCGGCAGCTACTGAAGCGACCAGGATCGTGCAGGCTTGCAGGAGGTGAGTTAGAACACCTCCGCGCCTGTGCAAAGTGCGCATTTGGTGCGCATGCACACATAAAGTATGCACACACGCAAAGTGCGCCCACCAAGCCACACCCACCGAACTGGTAGTAAAAATATTTGAATCTCACCACTGCATAAATATACAACTAAATGCATGTTTAATAAACTTTAATGACATTCTTGATGTGCTATGACCTCTTCCCCTCTATTAGTGAGATGTTTGTGTGCAAAATCCCTTGAGTTTAAATTAAGGTGGAAGGCTACAAAAGTGGAATATGTGGGTTTGTCACGATTTGCATTGCGTTGTTTGATAGAGTTCTTTACACAAATCTGTCCAAAGGATCAGTATTAGCTTGAACTAATACTAGTTTGGTCCATGAGTCTTGTAATGTTGTTCAGGTAGTAGACTGATGACTAAGGGCTGCTGTTTACCTTCCCTGAAGCTTTTCCCTATTGTTATGAATTTTTGTCTCTCTCTCTCTCTCTCTCTCGAAAGGGTTGCAAACCTGGATGCAAATATTTCAGTATCCACAATTGGAGATATGAAAATAAAGACAAATAGTTCTGGAGATTTCTCCCCCACCCATCCATCCCGTTTTTTTTAAAATCGCATCCAAGATGCTCATTTTAAAATGGTGGGCTTTAAGCAGCCAAATCTTTTTCTTTCTCTTCCTTTTTATGTGTTTTCCCCATATTAATCATTTTGTATATGTGCCTTAAACCACAATTTGCATTATGGCTTGTTTATAAAAATGTAAGTTTAATGGTGCCTAAGACAAATGATCCAAATAGCGTGAACCATTCCACAAATAATGTGCCCTGTTTGTTAATGCTTTGAATGGCTTCTGAAATCCAAAACCTCATAAGAAGACTGTGCCTACCATTCCTCAGTTTGCACATGCTCTTCTTGTGTTGCATCAGAAGGCCTCAGAAGCATTGGAAGAATGACATGCATAATTTGGAGATTGGTGTGCACAACCATCTTGCAGTGCTTTGGAAGGCCTCAGAAGCTTTTTGAAGCATTGTGAGAATGGAGCGTGCTATTCAGAGAAGGGCACAAGCAGCCTCGGGAGGAAGGCTTGGCACAGCCAACAGCCACAGAGGACCAGGTTGGGCGGTGCACCTTGTCAGTAGTGGGAGGAAGATGATAAAGGTGCGCTGTGCATTGCACGGGTGGCTGGGGCTTTGCAGTTGCAACTTTGGGGATCAAGTGTAACTATCACTTGTTCATTGCCACTGTAACTTTGGTTGCTGAATGAGTGGTCAATAAGCAAGGACTCTCAATTGTGATAGATTACTAGATAGACAGACATATAGAACTTTATTTTGGTCATTGACCAATGTATATTCGATCAATAAAATGAACAACACAAAAGTATCCCCTACTAGAACTACTAGCAACAATTTGTGGGTGAAGCTTACACATAATTAGAAAAAAATTGCTACTTTTAGGGAAATTTCTCTTGGTTATTTAACAGATGATACAACTAAAAGCTGTCAGAGTGACCAGGAAATTTAAAGAAAAGAAAGGTAATGAACTGGTGGTGAATGGCTCTGTAGAACTGGTAATACAGAAGAACATGGCTGTGGTTTCTATGGCACCCATATCATAAGGGCAATATTGAGTTTCATATGGAGTTTTTCTATATTTCCCTTCCGGGAAACTGGGGAGAATATTAAATTGAGCTAAAGATAAAACTGTCTTAAATTTGAGAACTGATATGATATAAATAGGCTGGTTTGGACACTGAAAGGTGGTTATTTGGAATTATAGTGTGAATGAAAGCAGCAATTTCTGTTTAACCTTCTATATCTAAGAACCTTTTCTTCAGATCCATCTTGATCTACCTCTCTAGTTAGATAGTATCACTGGAGAAACCATAGATACTTAGATACTCAGATACTAAAGACATCCTTGTATTTCTTGTTATTATTTGTAAGTTATATGTGACCTTGTAAATTCAAATGAGTATAAACTAATGGAATTTAATGTTATATTTTAAAAATCAGTGACTGAAGCTTTTTCTATCTCCTAATGCAGTTTGAAGCCGCCTGGGTTCTGACTAACATTGCCTCTGGAAATTCCCTTCAAACTCGGATTGTGATCCAAGCAGGAGCTGTTCCTATCTTCATAGAACTACTCAGCTCAGAATTTGAAGATGTGCAGGAACAGGTTAGTTAGATTCTCAGAAAATAAAAAGGGGAAAGGAGAATAGTACGGATTTCCCCACAACTGAAAATTGTCTTTATAGTGTTATTCTATCTTACTAGATTGCTATGTTGTGTCTTGTTTTACTGTGACTTTATGATTTATTGCTGTTTAAATTGTATTGTTTTACTGATAGTTAGCCTGAAGGTATAGTCTTTAAATCTTCTTAGATGGATAATATAATACTATAAAAGTCTTTGTAGTGGAATACAGGACACTGAAGATTCTACTAAACATATTTAATACTGACTCTTTTCTTTCTTTCTCAGGCTGTTTGGGCTCTAGGTAATATTGCAGGTGATAGTACCATGTGTAGAGACTATGTACTTGACTGCAACATCTTGCCCCCTCTATTACAGTAAGTGATACAAATGGTACTCAGATTTATTAGTAAGGGTGATACAATCTTTGTGAAAAGAAACAACTAAATAATCTGGATCTGTTCTGTGCTTGGATGGAATACCACAGGGGAAACTGACTTATGCCACTTTCATTTCCGTGATGAAAATGAAATAAAAAGTGTAGTGTAGATAAAATAAGGAAGTGTTTCACAAATTGGTAATTTCTCATTAACAATAAAAAGACACTTACAGTTGGTTCATAAGTAATGCATCCCATAAGCCTGAATAATAAATATATAATATACGGTCAATCAACTATGCAGGAAAATGATATTGCAAACCTCTTATTTCTATTTTCAGATTGCTTTCCAAACAGAATCGTCTTACCATGACTCGGAATGCAGTATGGGCACTATCTAATCTTTGCAGAGGGAAGAACCCTCCTCCAGATTTTGTTAAGGTACAGAATAAAATTCAAGAAGAGTTAATGTCCCAAAGGTGCTTTTTCCAAAAGGCAACTGGACTTTCTTGAGTTTTTTCCTTTGGAAACATTTTACTTCTCATCCAAGAAGCATCTTCAGTTCTCGTTTTTTTCTGGTTTTTTTTTTCCTGTTACTTTTTCTATTTGTGGAAAAAGTTGTTCACAATAGGTTTATTTTCCCAGAATGCCTCATTCACAATTACTTTCTCATTCTCAACTCTACCTATTATTGCTATGTTACTGTAAACTATAAATAATCTTTCTGGAATATTTCTTTGGAATAGCAACCAGCTCCTGCATAGAGAAGAAGTGGCTAATTTTTCATTATTAATAGTAGAGGGGGCAAAGCACTTCAAGTACAGTAATTGAGAAACAACAGGAAGTTTCTTTCCCTTTTTGCAAACTTATTCAAAACCATTGATTTTTTTCAGAGTGAAAAACGAGATTTACATGGAAGAAAACAGGGGTCCAAATTCTATAGAAATATATCATAGGAGGTAAAACATAGCTCCCATGGTTAAATAAAAACTTTTCTAAAGAAACAGAAAGCCAGACTTGCCAACAACATCTGCTTTATTTTTGGTATATTGCATAGGATGTCACTTTTGTGCTCATCTGTGTAAGTCATAGGCTTGTGCTTGATGCACTGACCTCCTGTGCTCAGGGAAGAAATTCATTCTCTTGAACACCAGATAGTTGATCTATAGAGTTGAAGAAATACAGAGGGGAGATAATTTGGGAGCTATTAACTTTATTTCAGTCCTCAAAAAAATAACTGGCTATAAAGAAGAATTAGGAACTTGGAGAAAGACATAATTGTGATGGCCTCCTCGGACGCTTCCCGAATGCCTCTCCGGATGCCAGCTTGAAGGAAGATGAGCTGCTTCCAGGCATGTCACGGAGAGGTAGTAACAGGTGGTAACCAGTGGCTTTAAGCAGACAGCAACAAGTCCACACACAGAGTGATCACAGGGAGCGATCAGATGAGCAGCTAGCTGAGCATGGGTCAGTTGAAGCCCAGCTGCAGCAGGACAGCCCTGAGGCTTCAGGTGGAAAAAGTGCCCAGCTGCAGCTGGCCAGCAGGAGGAGAAGGAACTGTCTCCTCCACCCAGTCCAAGAGCACAAAGGGTATAGAAGAGACAGGAGCAATGGAGGCCAGCCCGCTTACTTATGAAGCAGCAGCCTTGCCCCTCGTGATGGGCTGCACTGAGTGCCACTATTTAGTGCAGGAGGAAGAGGGGAGCAACATTAGGGAAATGCATTTGTTTTGGTACCTAGCACTTACCAGCCTCTTAGCTGAGCTTCCTACCATGACCATGTACCGTATTTTTCGGACTATAAGATGCTCCAGACTATAAGACGCACCTAACTTTTTGGGAGGAAAAAAAAAACTGCCTCTGCCTCCCAGCAGTTTGCCTCCTTGTAGTAAACAGCCTGGTCAGCTTCACCAGAGCCTGATTTAGCAGGAGCAGCTGATTAGCAGTTGGATCTGTCTCCTGATCAGCTGTTCCAGGCTGCATTGATCGCCGCCACCCATCTGCACTGTTCCTGCCCATTACCGCTGCCACCTGTTGCCTCCATTTTCAGCCTGTTTCAGGTGGCAGGGATAGGCGACATTGGCGTTCATCCCCACTTCCTGGAACGGGCCAAAAACAGGGTGTGCAAGGGCCGAAAATGGGGTGCTGGAAGCTGAAAATCTGTTGCGCAGAGGCCAAAAATGGGGCACGCAGAGGCGGCAATAAGTGGCAGCGGCAATGGCATGGATGGGTGGCAGAGATCCCCACAGCCTAGAACAGCTGATCGTTGGTATTCCCGGAGGCAGATCCAACCACCAATCAGCTGCTTGTGCTAAATCAGGTGATATTGCTATTTGCTGCAAGGAGGCAAATTGCTGGGAGGCAGAGGCTGAAGGGTGGGGGCCGGTGTGTGGGTGGGGCATTGGCAACATTTGCTCTATAAGAAACACAAATATTTCCACCCACTTTTTTGCGGGGGGGGGGGGGGGGGGAGGACGACTGCATCTTATAGTCCAAAAAAATACAATATTTTAGACCCTAGATTTGTGCCTTGCACTTGCTTTTGCCTTGAATCCTGTCTCCAGACCCTGGACGATGGATTTGGTATTTGTACCTTGCCTTGCTTCTATTTTGTCTTGCCTTGAGGGTTTCTCCAGCTTTATGGATTCATACTGTAGTCATTCCGGAACTGAGCTGTAAACGTTGGGGGAGGGTTTTCCTTGTTGCTGGATTGGGGATTTTCTGGGGAAGACTCTTGGAAGGGTTTGGAAAGCCTCAGTAAACCTCTTGAATTCCTCTTGAGCTGGAGCTGGACAATAATTTCAAAGAAGACTGAGATGAATGCATATTCTTTCATACCAAGGACACTCCCCCACATAGTTGATGACAGGAGGAGTTTGTGATGGGTATAGAACACATGGTAACTTGTCTACTTGAGGAAAATATTACAGATAAGCTGCTATATGGGAAAACCCATTGTGGGAATACTGTAAATGCAATTACAGTATATCTTGATTTCATCAACAAAACACTTGAGAGTGTCAAGTGATTGGAGATGGCCTTATCAATATCATTCATTTGGACTTTCAAAAATTATTTGACAGAATTCCTCTTCAAAAGTTTTTGAGTAAACCTAATGGTCAAGGGATAAGAGTAACTGTCTTAATAAATAGCTGCATTATTTTTTTAAAAAAATAGGTGAATTAATATAGTGTTAAGAAAGTTTAGTAGCTGTATTGCTGTTCTAGTGTGAGAGTCAGAATATCTCCTTCTCTATTGCCTGTTTTCTCCTGGCGTACTCCAGAATAAGCATTCAAATCTCCACCATTCTTACTGTTTAAAAAATGTTCTCCAAGAGACTAAAAAAAAGAAAATGTTGATAGATATTTTTTCTTTCTCATTGACATTTACTGGTAATTATATCTTTGTCTTGTTTTAAAGCCACAATTATTCTTTAGGAATTAGGCAGGAAGTCAGTAATTTCTATGTGCATGGAAAGCAGGAGCCCTTTCCCAACAAAAAATTTGTTTACCTCTGTAAGGTTCCAAATGTTATGCAAAATCAAATACAAAAGCAAATGTATTATTAAATGGACAGACATTTTAAGGACCAGCAATTTGTCATATAATACATATTTCAGTTTGGGTAAAATCTGAAAGAGGAATTGGTTTCTAAATTTTGGTTTTATTTTTCAGTAGAAACTGAAATTCTTCTTAATTTCAGAGTATTAAAATCAACAGTGATAATCCATTTGTTACATACATTTTACTCCAATTATTTAATCTTTGGACTGGTTCAGTTTTACAGTCTACACTTGAAGTATAGTGGAGCACTCCTTTTATACATAAGAATTCAATTTTGGCATTTCTTGAGTCATTTTAATAGAAACCATTTATTTGATTAATTATTTTCCTCTTTCTTCCTTTGTAGGTATCACCATGTCTGAGTGTCCTTTCATGGCTGCTGTTTGTTAATGATACAGATGTTCTAGCAGATGCATGTTGGGCTCTCTCCTACTTGTCTGATGGACCGAATGATAAAATTCAGGCTGTGATTGATGCTGGAGTGTGTAGGAGACTTGTAGAACTGTTGATGTAAGGATTTTAGAACAAGTAAATGTAATTTTTAATTGAGTTATCCTGTTTCCTGTGTCAGTGTAAGATTGAATCAATGTTTGTTTCACATTCAGTGATTGATTCATCTGGTTCCAGTGCCTCCTTTTTGAATAGCATTTAAAGAAGCAGTCAACTTGGCTTTACAGCACATTTTTCTGTCTAGCTATGATCTTGATGAAGAATAATTTTCAGAGTAATGTGTTTATTTGGAAGTAAAACTTGCCCATTTGCAATATCTCTTTTAGTTGCCCAGTCTTCCTTTTGCCACTCATTGAGGGCTATGTAACCAACTCTTCCTTTGTATGATTCACAGTTCATGAACAGCTGGGAAGGGGCATCTTGACATTGCTGGACATGTAACCAAGTTTAATAGTTGGAGGCTTTTGTGGGGAACTGCACACGTCTCAGTGAGATAATAAACTCAGAGGGATTAAGGATGACTGGGTTATCTATACTAAATGACAGAACAGCATAGAAAGAATCCTTGGTTAACGTTAGCTTTAATGAGGACAATATAGACACATTTTGCTTAAGCAGATTCATATCTGCATACCTTTCACTCCCACACATGAATAACAGATATCCACAATTGGCCAAGAAGAACGGAAGTAATAAATTAGAGCTTCATATGGTTTTGTATATATATGGTTCCCTCCCCTCATCTGATAGCTTCTTCTGATCTCGCAAAATTACAAAATTTAATATGAACAATTCTGGACTTCATGTTCATAATGCTGGATCACATAGCTTAACATTCTGAAATGTAATATTAAACAAATATGAACTATACATGCAGTGTAGTCTCGTACAAAGACACTGAGTTAAATCTTTTTATACGTTCCAGGAAAAAAAAATCCACTTTGCTCCCAAATGAACTGATACATTAGGGAAGTTTTGAGCGTTGCTTATATTTTTTAGTAATTTGCTATAGTTTCTGAGTAGTGAAAATTCAAAGAACAGGAATTTGTTTACTAACATTTGTATTCACTCTGGACTTCCATTAGGGTAATATTTTTCTTTCATTCAGAGACACCCCCCCCCCCCCACTAACAAATAGTATTTTTTTAAAAAGTACTGAATTCAGAGATGTTACTTCTTTTACACATGGTTTATCCATTTGACACTAGAAGATAGATTCTTATTCATTCTCCATCTTGTATTTTTTAATTATTGGTAATTTAAATATCTAAGTTGTACATAGTTTTCATATATGGACTCACATGGTTCTTCTCAAACTGTGATGTAGTTCTGTCTACTTTTGATAAGCAGTTTTTCTTTAACCTTTCATGACTCGTTTTCAAGAAATGTGACAAATTTGGTTGCAGCCTTTGTTAACAACTGTACAGCAATATTATAATAAGCAACATTCAATATTACTGTTACATAAAACCCAAAAGCAAAACACAGCCAGAAATGTTACAATGTCATATGTTCATGAGTATTCATTGAAAAAAGGTAGTATTAAAACAATGACACCACATAGCAATCATCACAGAATATCTATATTTGAATAAACATTTGTGTATATTTTATAATCTAGTAATAATTTCGCCTGTGGTATCAGGTTTGGATTTTTTGGAGTCTTCCTGTGCTTCTTGATTACTGCAGAGCATTATATCTGTTAAACTGCACCCTTTTCTTGTTTTAGGCACAATGACTACAAAGTGATATCACCTGCCTTGCGAGCAGTTGGGAATATTGTTACAGGAGATGATATCCAGACCCAGGTATTAACTTTTCATACAGGAACTTAATGTTCCCATATTTCAAACAAGTTTTTTTTTCCCAAAAGCCAACATGGTTCCCTTATCATACTTCAGATTTCAGTACTTTGAGGTTTGCTGAATGCTACTTTACAGGGTCTGAGACACATAGTTTGCTGAATAGGTATGTGTCTCCCTGTAAATTTTATCTATTTGAAATGCACTTATATCTTTAGATCATAAATAATTTCACATGATCTGGTATATTCCTTCTTAAAGGTTTAGGAATAGGATCTATTGCTTTTTAATTCTTATTGTTCAACTCTTGGTAATAAAATACAAAATTGTTGAATTAATACTTATCCCTGAAGAACATGATTTTTTACATAGAATTTGAATAAAAACTGGTATAAAAATGTGAGTTGGGGGAGGGAGGACCAAGCTCATTCTTCACTCTTTACTGTATGTGCTTTTCTTTTTGTGAGGGTCACACATATTGTTGCTTATTAATGTATTAAAAAGAGTCCATTGCTGAGTGGTTGAGCAGGTGGTTTCAACCAGATCTACATATGAATTTTCTGTAATGCCTGAAGATCCATCATGTATCATAAAGTGGTGTGGAAATACTTAAACAAAAACATTTCAATAAGCTCCTAATCTTGAATTAGGACTTTAAAACCTTCCTTAAATAATGGAAAGTTAAAATGAAATGTTGAAATGAATCCAACCATTTGTCTCAGGGTAAGACTACCTACATTTGTAGGTGGTTCCTTGATGATAGCTGCTTTTTTTAAACACAGGAATGTTAGTTATTACACATTTGGTTCTGAACATGTTCTCCTTCCTCAAAATGAATCTACAAATGTAAATAATTTGTGGTGTTTAAACAGGTGAGTGGTTGAGTATCAAATAATGTAGTGATCTGTATCCATAAATACGCTTGTTATTTCCAAGTGCAAGACTGGAAAATCAGGTCCTCAAATAGCTAGAAGTACATTAGTTGGTCAATCAATCAATATTATTGATAGCTCCAGTTTCTCTTAGTCGATTGTCCTGTAACCAATTTTATTCTAATCCTTTGATTTTGAGATGGTTGGGAAGGGGGGAATGCAGCATGCTTAGGCTTCAAGAAAAATCTGTTTAGATGTTGAGGAATAATATAAGTTTGGTGTAGGCTAACATTTTCCTTCTCACTCTGTATCCTCCATCACCTTAACCCCATCCTTAAATCATAATAGCCAATAATTGCCAAAGAGCAACATAGATTATTATCAGTTTTTTATTGGTTGTATGCATTTATTAATATTTGACTCAAGCATTTGCCCAAGCATTTGATAAAATATTCTATGATATTCTGATTAGCAATGATTAAGCATTGATTTTATGGTTTGACAGTAAGTGTACATGCTACTTCAGATGAAAATGAAAATAGCCAAGGATTATCAGCTACATGAAAAGCTATTATGTGTTAGGTCTTCTATAATTGATAGTTTTTGGCTAATCGTTCATATATTCTATAAGAGAATAAGGCTGACCCTTTTTATTAGATTCATTGGATCATTTTTAAACATATCCCCAGATTTCCCATGGTCTTCCAGCTTAACGTCTATTCTGAACTATGTTGGATCTGCTACACTAGTACATTTTAAATACTTCTTAATTTTACAGGAATTGACACCACATCTTTCCCAGAGTTTTCTAGTTGCCAGTGGGGAAAATTGCCCGTGTATTCTACTCGTTGTTTTCTGGTTTTTTTTTAACCATAAATCATCCATTAAAGCAGGGTTTCCAACCCCCAATCTGAGGATTGATACCGGTCCATGGCCTGCTGGGAATTGGGCCGTGCAAGCAGCGGGCGAGTGCACGGAGCCTCATTTGTGCATGTGCAGGATCTAGATTTTGCATGCACATGATCTAGGTTGCATGCGGGAAACCATCCCCACGCAATGCTGCTGCTGTTGCCGCCAGTCCATGGAGCCAGAAAGGTTGGGAACTGATGCATTAAAGGATAGGTCAGTGAGGAATTTTTATCAAAGGCACTTTGAAAAATCTGAGTATATTGTGATGATTGGTATATCTCAGGGGTGGGATTCAAAAATCCCAGCAACCGGTTTGCTGGGTGGGCGTGGCCTACTGGAAATTCCGGAAGGCCCGTTTTTCCCCCTCCCAGAGCTTCCACGTGGTCCGCACTTACCTGCATCAAAAATGGGCTGTGTGGAGACTCCTGGGAAGGGGGGCAGCGGGGGGGGGCAGCTGGTCAGTTCAAATACCAGTTTGGCGAACCAGATGCACATTTCTAACCAGATGCACAGTTCTCCTGAACTGGTCCAAGCCGGTAAAATCCCACCTCTGGTACATTTCCATCCACATGTCTGTTGATATTCCAAATATTTTAGGTTTTGTTTCAGAGAGACTTGTCCTTTATGTAGCAGCTTTTTTTTAATTACCATTTCTATCAGTTTGCTTGGAAGAAGTTTAAGCTAACTGCTCTTCAGTTTCTCAGATCTTGCCTAAATCCTTTTTAAAAATTATGGCTACTATGTTTTTATGATCCTGTAATCCCTTAATTCAGGTTAGAATCAGGGCAACATAAAAAGTTATATACAGCTCAGCAGAGCTGTCAGATAACCAGTCAAATCTGCGGCTCTCCTATAATCCCCTCCACCAATCTGATACGTAAATTGGTTTTACTGACTGGTTTTGCTTTCAGATTCTTTCCTGTTATTATTTAGGCAGATGTAGCAAAGACTTTAGTTAGTTATCTGCACATTTTTTTAAAAATGTGTAGGCTACCTAATAATCAGTTAAGCTCAAAATCCTAGTCCACAGTCGTTTCCTCTATTGTAATAAAACTTATGTGGCAGATGCCAGTCAGCATAACCTGCCATTGATCTATAGTTCAGGTTCAAGCAGTAGATTTAGTATGTTGAGAGAATTGCTGGTAACTTGGTGTTGGATGGCTGTTAGAAAATAAAACTATGTATTCAGTTGTTGCTTATGTTAATACTTCCCTGAGAATTTCTTTGAAAACATATTGGTTATGAATATGGCTTACATGGCATATTCAGCTTTAATTTTATCTTCACAACAAAACATCTGAATTTGATTGATCTGAGAGTTTCAAAATAACCCAGTAAGCTTTTGTGCAAGTTACGTTCCCAAATTTCTCTAAAGTCCTAACCCAATATTTTTATCATTACATACACACTGGGAAAAGCTGGATTAAAGAAAAGGGCAAGATTGCTGCTCCTGCCCAAGCTCCATCAAAACACATAAAAATCCTCTCTGTAGTGCTTTTTGCCTCCTAAACATTTGTGCACATCATAAAAGGAGCTGCTTTGTGCTCACACCACTCTTTTGCTTAGCAAAAAAGAAATTTTCTTTTTTACACTTAACAATCTTTTTTTAAAAAAAATAGTATTAGAAGGCACAGACCTGCGCATCCACGAAGATGCTTCATGATGCTATGAACAGAGTAGGTTTCTTCAGTCTGGGCTCTGATCTGCTGCCAGCATGTTGGCTCCGTGATGCATGTGTGTTGTAGACTTACAAAACAAGTGTACCATTTCAGATCTGCCTTGGTCAGGGACTGTTGCCCAGCAGCATTAAGGCCATTAGCCCCCCACTAGCCATATGTGAATGCAGATAGGTCCCCTCAAGTGACCTACATGAGATCTCCATCCAGGGTCCAGTAAAACCAGGGAACTACATGGAATCAATCTGATGTGCAGCTTGAGTGCTATCTCCCTTTAATATCCTTTATTATCCCATTGTTTTGAATTTCACATTTCCAAATCCTCACTTAAATACAAAAAAAAAAAAAAAAAACACTAGTAAACAGCAAAAAGAAACAGAAACACATCAGCGTAGAGTGCTGCTTCTGATGCCACAGCATGATAGCCCTCAGCCATTCTTGGTTAATCTCAAAAGTCTCGTTGGGGGTGGACCTAGTTAGTACTTGAATTGGGGGAGTGTAAGAGGATCCCAGGGCTATAGCTGAAGAAGCATCACAGAACTTGCAAATGGCCCATATTGCTGCTATGAGCTCCACTCAGGGGAGTTTCCTTTAGCCTTTGATAGTCATTGTTCATATTGTTTCCACTGACCATCCCTCAAGTCCTTTCTCACTGGATAAGCCGATCTGCTGTCATGCTTCTCTCTGAAAGTTTTTCTTAAGGTTCTTTTTTAATTACTTGCTGAAGTCTAGGACCACACTTTCTGATGATGTTTTGTGCTTCTGTTAATTATCCCTATTTCTTTGAAGTCAATACATCATCTGAGTATAGTCTAAAATCTATTCTCCCTTTTTCTAGGTAATACTGAACTGTGCAGCCCTGCAAAGTTTATTACACTTGTTAAGTAGTCCTAAAGAATCAATCAACAAGGAAGCATGTTGGACAATATCAAACATTACAGCCGGAAACAGAGCACAGATTCAAGTAATTAACATTTTCGGGCGGGAGAAATAGGGACATATTAGCAAGGGCAAAGTGAAACGTCTTTATAAAGCTTTTGAAAAGGATGTAACTTTCTCCTGGTAATCCAAAAAATGTTATATTGTATTTCTAAGTAGAAACTTTTAAGAGAAGTGAACTCCAGCTATATTGACATTTAGCGACCACAGTTGGGACTGGCAACTTGGTTGTTAAGTGAAGCTGTGATTAAGTGAAACCATACTTGGGGTAATGATCTTACTTCAGCTTTCATTTGCTTTACAGACCTTCAAAGGTTATAAAAGTGAGGTTAGTTGCAAAGGTAGTTTCATCACTACTGTAATTGTGAATGGTTTCTGTACAAGGCAGTTGCTAAACAAGGACTACCAGTTACCTGGTGTCAAATAATATAGTGTAGACATAAATAGGGGTAAATGCACATTGCTATGACTACCACTAAATTCTTATTTAAATTAACTCTAGGAAGATGGTTTTTTTGTCTATAATTTTCATTTGATATTAAATCCTCTGTTTTTCAGACGGTCATAGATGCTAATATTTTCCCAGCTCTAATAAATATTTTGCAAACTGCTGAGTTTCGGACAAGAAAAGAAGCAGCTTGGGCGATCACTAATGCAACATCAGGTGGCTCAGCAGAACAAATAAAGTAAGTAGTAGTGAATTGCTCATAGATGATTGATCAAAACCATTACGAAACATTAAGAATGGAGATCCAAGAGCTGTATGTTCTTGACCCCCTTAAAACAACCCCCCAAAATCATGCTATTGAAATTCATCAGAGTGCCATTTTTGACAATGCAGATATTTATATTATTGTGGTTAAAAGTGCAGAAGAAAAATAATAAGATTCTACAGTGCTTAATGCATTATTTTACATTTTAAACCTGCCAGACTTTTCAAAAAATGAAAATAACCAATTTTGGTTCCATCTTCCAATGACATCACTGCCAACTTTCTTCTGTTCCTTTAGAAACCAGACACACCACCCCTCAAAAAAACCCCAAACATCAACCAAACCCTATCTCCATTGCATAACAATTGCCTGCCCTTCCTGTAATTGCTCCCCGATACTTTAAAATAGAAGAATTGTGGTAAGAGCCGATTCCATGTTTTATTTTGTCTGGCCTGCAACTCATTTTATTTGATATATCTTCATTAATGCTTTAGGTTGGTCTTTTAATACTTTTTAGCAGTTTTTCTATTTTACTACTGACTGAATACTTTCCCAGAGAAAATTGATTATTTATCAGTAATAATCTTCCTTATGTATTTAGGACATTTGAGTCATATTAATTTTATGTTTCAAAATTATCTGTCCTTACAAGTGATATAACTATGATGTGCATGTTGATCAACAAAATCCTCTGAGTGACTTCCAATTGGTATGGTTTTCAGATATCTAGTAGAACTTGGTTGCATCAAACCACTCTGCGATCTCCTTACTGTGATGGATCCAAAGATTGTGCAGGTAGCACTTAATGGACTGGAAAACATTCTGAGGCTGGGTGAGCAAGAAGCAAGAAGAAGTGGCACTGGCATTAATCCATACTGTGCGCTCATCGAAGAAGCCTATGGTAAGGATGATGGCTAGAAACCAGAAGATTGAGTTGGTCTAAGCCCGCCTTGGCAGGAAAGCCAGTTAGGTCAGCTCCCCTCTCAGCTCAACTTGCCTTATAGGGTTGCTATGGGGAAAATTGGCAGGAGTATTTATGCTTGCTGCCTTGAGTTAACATACATAAAAAGGTGGGATAAAAAAGTAGTAATATCCAGTAGATTGGTCTTGCTTGTTTTCCATTGTTTATTTTAATCTGAATTTTAGTGCAATGTGCCTATTCTTTCACTCCCTGTCTAAAGCACTTATTATAAGCCTCTTTGCCTTCATCTTTGCTATATGCTTCCTTTTAGTTGCCTCCTATATTCCATTTCAAATAATATTTGTATATTGCCATAGAAAAGATTAGTACAAATATAAATCTGGTTTTTGTTCTCAAAATAAGAACAAGATTTGAAAATTCTCTAATTCTATTATATAACCCAACAAAAGGTCATGGAAGCCATATCTTGCCATTTAAGCTATACTTGACTACATTGGGTAAAATAAATCATATTTATTTCAACTGTAACATTAAGAGATTTGGAGAACATGTAATTATTTGTACACTGCATTCTCTGTTGTCTAGCTGACACCTGCAGATTCTAAGATAGTAAAGAGAACATTAATTAATAAGGCTCAACCAACTTTAGTGCCAAAGGGACCTATAGCATCTTGAATATTGCAGTGCTAGTTTTTTTTACAGTTTGCATAAGAATAAGTGAGTTCAGGCTGTCTGTTAGTTCAGTTTCTAGGTTTAGGGAAAGATTGAAATAGAGCAACTATATCTTCCAGTTCAAAATTTGATGGAAATTCTGTATTTTCTTGCAGGCCTGGATAAGATTGAATTCCTGCAAAGTCATGAGAACCAAGAAATATATCAAAAGGCCTTTGACCTGATTGAGCATTACTTTGGGACAGAAGAAGAAGACAGCAGCATTGTCCCACAAGTAGATATTGGCCAGCAACAATATATCTTCCAACAGTGTGAGGCTCCCATGGAAGGTTTCCAGCTCTGAAGTGCTCCTGTCTGCCGTTAATGTAGAACTCTGAGTGGTCTCATTTACCATAAATGTGTGAGCTAATTTGCTTGCTTTGCACATGCACTACCTTAAACACAACTGGAAAAATATTTGGCTCTTAGTTGTAGGATGCCACTTTGATAAGGGCTTATCTTAAATACTGAGCCCATTGTTCGGAACTGGTGCACTTCTGTAAAGATACTGTTTTTCCTGATTTTTCCTATTTTCCTAATACACTGAAAACGTAACCCTAGAATCTCAAAAACAAGGACATTTCCATGTGGAGCATTCTTTACTGTCTACTGAGACTTTTGAGAGACTCTTCCTTCCCATGCATTCCTTTAGGTGCCTGCCTTGTTCAAAGAATTTAAGAGAAATAGTTAATGCAGACTCAGAATTTGAGTGGCATTCTTCTGTGCGGCAGCCTGGATTCCTGTTAATTTATAAGCATATATGGTTAGAATTATTCTATTCCCTGTGTTTATGGCAGCCCATGAATACCTTTCTCCAGGTTTTAGGAATATTGCTAATTGTCAGCAAGCTGATTTCAGTGCTCCCATTTTGACTGCATAGGATTTGGAGTTCCTCACTTTCTTCAATGCAGACAGGGAATCAGCTCATCCTTCTATTTAAAACATAGCACTTTCTTTGACATGTTCTAAATTGGGCCATTGATAGAGAAAACCTCTCTACACTGTCTAAATTAGCAAAGCTTATTTAAAAGCTCTTAAAGAGTACTTTCACATCACCACTGATGTGATGAAAACTTCCAACTTAATTTTTTGTACAGCTCCATCAAACAAAGCTGTATGTATGGTTAATATTCTAAATTATTGATGCTAGGACACTTGATCCCTGGTTTGCATCTGCTTTCACAAACACCAGTTTCTAAATCAAATCAGACAGATTGGTTATTAGCAGTTTCATTAAAAAATACCAGAAACCATCTGCCCTGTATAATAGATTCCAACACACTCAAATAATAATCTGTTTCATGGTTAAACTATAAACACTTCAGCCATTTAACACTCTTGCACCTTTCATTTAGTTTTCAATACAGCTATCTCCAATGAAAAACTAGTACTTCAGCCTCTGCAGCAGCTAAGAGCTTGAATACCATTTGGGTAAGATCAGGTTGGAGGTCTCTAATAAGTTTGGATTTAAGACCTTGGAAATGAATACCAGTTGCTTTGATCTTCTCCTACATTCATGTTCTCTGATCTTTGTAGTATAATATAATTATTTCAGGAGTGTTGTCCTATGAATGAATTAAGTGGCATTTTCATTCAATTTAACTTGACCTTTGTTTACGCTTTACAAAAGAAAACTAGCATCAACTACAACATACTACTTTGTCAAACCCTGATCCGAATTCTGTGTCCCACATAGCTTCCATTGATATCTGCAGCCACCACAATCCAAATTATTGTATTCATGATAGCACTCTCTTATGCTGAAGGTGCACCATAGGTTACGATGTCAGTTGAATTTCCTGTTTGATCTTGGGATATTAAAAATAGAGCTAAGATGGCTAGGATGGTACATTTCACAATAAACTAATTGTCCATTTTGTTGATTGTCCAGATTGTTGGGCCCCACATGAGAGAAGGAATTTATGGGCTCATTTTAATTGTTGTGTACATATAACAAATTTGACTCCAGATGATGTGACAATCATGCTTCCTGATTGGCTACAATTGCTTTGGGAAGAGATCCCCATTTTTAATACCAGAAGTCAGATGGGTAAAAAAATCTTACACATAGGAAAGCAAACAATACGCAGTTTGCAGTTCAATAGTAAATGAGCAATCTAACATTTTTAATTTTATATAATCATCTTTTTTTCTTAAAGAATGGTAGAAACACTGATGAAAAAAAGTCCATTTTATTTCCACAGCGGGTTTTGTTTTTTTTGGTGGCTGGGTTTTTTAAAGGATAAATTTCTGACTACATGTTGTTTCTATATAATATGCTTTAAATCATGTACTTTATTGCATAGTTGTTCTAGAGAGAGCTACGTATTTTGTAAATCAGCTTCAATGAAGTGTGTATGTGATACTGAAATGTATCATGTACACCAGTACTAATGTGTGTGCATATTTAGTTTGTACATGCACATACACACTCTTCTGGGACAATTGCTAATGTGTATGTATATATGTATATTTACACAAACTTCACAGTGGAAGTTTTTCTCTGAAGCTCCTAGAATAATGGTGCATTGGTGTTTCTTCTAGTAAATAATGACAGTTCTCTCTTTAAAAGGGTGAATTAAATCATATATTCAAATGAATGGAGTGTGTATGTGTTTATAGAAGAGTTAATTAGATTTATTATACAGGTGAAATATAGAAATAGACTGTACAGTCCAGAGTTGTATAATTGAAGTATTTTAGATAGATGAAGCTGTAAAATGTTACTAGTTCTGTAGCCTGTTGAAGGTAGTTATTTGTTTTTTTGTTTAATGTGGAGCCAAGGAGAGGAGATAAACTCCTGAAACAAGTGTCAACACTTTTCAGGTGGCTTGAATGGAATGTGAAAGAGGACTGTAATTGTTATGTTGTCTTAAAGTGATTCAAAAAAGAGGGAGGTGGGAGAGTTTGGAAAGATCTTTGAAGAGCTTGTAAACCTTTTGTTTACTAGGGAAAGCCAACACTGTATTTAGTATCCTATTTACATATCCACAGTTATAGTCACAAGATTTTTGGCAGTAGCAGAGATTCCTCTAATACAGTGGGATGGGATGATTCTTTGTGAGTGGCAGGCGTGCACATATGCACAGCTCCATTTGTGTGACCAGAGCTTTGTGCGTTCACATAAGCGCCCACCACTCACGTGAGTGGAGTTCCGCACGCACACTGCTTGTGCAGCCTAGTTCCAAACAGACCACGGCCTGGTAGTGGGCCACAGCCCAGAGGTTGGAGGAGCCATGCTCTTTTAATAGTTCCAACATAGGCCAGAAGAGTGAAGGAAAATGAATATGGAAAGACGAATTGTTCTTTTCCTTCTGTGATAACCTGTACTTTCCATCACTTCATGAATTCAGGGCCAATTTCAAAAATTAAGGCTAACCCTCTTCTGTAATTCTACAGATAGTCCCCAACTTACAACCACAATTGGGACCTGAATTTTAGTCATAGGTTGTTGCAGTTATATGTCAAAATACCACATGACTGGACCCAAATTTTAGATCATTTTTGCAGTCATCATTTAGTGAATCGTGGTTGTAAGTCTGAATCTATTATACAGAAAGGACATTACTTTTGCTAGAAAGTCAGTCTTGTGATCATGGAGGTCACATTTTGCAATGGCCAGAAATACTGTACAGCTCATAAAGCACCCTTTCTGAGAATGTTGTAACTTTGGTTGTTAAACAACTGATCCTTTGTTTAGGATTACCTGTACCTTGATCTATTTCCTAACCTGAACTGCAATGGACATTTTTAACTGGAAAGGAAGAATTAGATTGGGTTCTGCCAGCAAGCTTGGCCGAAACTACAGGATATAATCAGTATTATTCAAGTGAGGAATTACATTTCATAAAATGTTTCTTTTTGTCTTAAGAAAATGTGTAAATTTTAAAGAAATAATTACACATCACTGACAGATCCCAAAAATGCAAGAGCAGATTAGGACACTTCAGGAGATTTTAATTTAGCATTAATGCAGATAAGTTTATCTTTGTCATAGTTTTTGGAGAAATGTCAAGTAGAATAATGAGAATTTGAACTTCAAGTTGCTATCCAGTTGCTAGAATGCCATTGCTAAGTACGCATGGACAGCACTATGGTTAGCATAACTGCTGTGTAAGGACAGCCCCCCAATGGTAAATTGGCTGTTCCGCCAAATTGTTGGCAATTAACAGCTAAGGAAATCTTTCTGCAGTCAGGAAGAGACAGCACTTGTGTGTCTTAATGAAATGTCATTTTGTCCTGAACTAAATCCTAAGTGAAAATAGTTACTAACCTGCAGTTTAAAACCTGGGGTGTTGCCTTATGAAATGCATTATCTATATATCATTCTTATTAAGCACAACACAGTAAGAATTTGAGCATAGGTTGCCAAAAGAGATGGTTATTGCAGAGAATAATTTTTGTGCCCCAGATACAGATTCTGTGCTGAACAAAGCACAGAAGAGATTTTAGTAAAGCCTGTATGATTCCATTAATAATGTACATGGGAATTTCTCCATTCAGTTCTCCTTTGATAATTTGAGATGCATTTTATTTTTAAGTTGTTTCCTTTCTGTTTTTTCCTGCATTTAATTTAAATTTAATGCTTTACTTTTCAAACTTTTAAACATATCTTCTATGCATTGTACTTGGAATTCCATCTGAGTTGTATTGTCAATTGTCAGCCATGTTCTCTGACAACCTGACTTCATTTTTAAAGATTCTTTTTAATTTAACCAATTTTGAAATTGGCATGCTCCAGCACACAAAAGACCCATAGACATTTTTTTTTGCAATGGGAAAAAGCAAGTGGCTTCACCTGGGTTGTTTTTTTCTTTTTTTTGGGGGGGGGGGGATATCCCCAATTGTCTATTTTTTTAAAAAAAATATGAAACAATGGATGGTATGCCCTTCCACTTTGTCCTTTATGATTGGCCATACCCATCATGGAAGTCATTTTGTGAGAATGTTTATAACATGCCGCCTCCTTCCCAATTTGTTCTGCTACTGGATAATTCTGAAATGGTATAGGTAGTCCTCAACTTACAACAATTTGTTTAATGACTGGTCAAAGTTGCAACAACACTGAAAAATGTGACATGACTGAAGTTACGACCTTTGCAGTATCCTCATGAACATGTGATTAAAATTCAGATGCTTGGCAACTGGTTCATATTTATGACCACTGCAATGTCCCAGGGTCATGTGATCACCTTTTGCGACCTCACAAGCATAGTCATTGAGAAACCAGATTCACTGAAGAACTGGGTTACTAACTTATCAATTGCAGTGATACATTTAACTGGCAAGAAAGGTCGTAAAATGGGGCAAAACTCACTTAACAAATGTTTCACTTAACCTCAGAAATTTTGGGCTCGATTGTGGTTGTAAATTGAGGATTGCCTGTATTAGAAACTGTACTGGGCATGACCAGCTTTCCTTAGTCAAGATTAATATTAAAACTGATGTTCAAAACAGGCTTTTCTCAACTCTATTCTTACCATAGTTCATCTCCCCACCTATTGACCTTACATTACAAAAAACATGAAATATAGCCTTTCCAACTGATGCTACCTGCTTTGCTTTCAATATTATCAGCTATACTTCCATAACTAGTGCACAAAGCTGGTTCTTTTGCACATGCTGTAACTACAGTACAAGGTTAAGATGCTCTTACCAGCCAAATAAGATATAAAGTACCATCTAATTTAATACTTAATTTCACATTAAACTTCAATTGCAACTTTTGGAATGAATCTATTTTTTAAATCCCAGCCTTTTGCATCTTTTCAAATATCCATTTAATAAAAAAAATGAGTTCCCATTTGAAATAAATATTGGCATGAGCAGTATTGGGAAGCAATTAAAAGTATGCTGAATGGTTTCTTAAGGCCTTCATATTCTAGGTAGCTTTTAGATAGTTGCTGTAAATACCATGCATTTCTTGCATTTCAGTATTCTGGTTTGAAATTAAATCATACATGACATTTATTTCATGAAATGGAAAAAAATGTCCAAGAGTATAAAGAATTTTGGATACAATTACTAGACTAACATACTAAAGAGATACAACTTTAGGGCTATACTAACAAGGCAAATTATCTGTTTAAGTTTACATATAAGTGGGAATAAGTACGAATTATTTTACCATTCATGTATATGTTACCCAGTTCAGATGAATTCAGTATCCTGGATAGATCCATTTATTATTAGAGCAGGGTGTATTTTACAGGTTACAAAGATATTTTATATATATATATATATCTCCCCCCTCCCCCCAGCATCCAGGATTTAAAGAAACATTCTAATACATAGATTCAGACTTTCAAAAACAAAATGTGCTTTTGTTTTAGTCAGAAATGGAGTCTTCCATCAGAAAGAATGAAAATTTTAGAATTACCATTGAACTATAAATTTTATTTTTATTTTTTTTGAAATGTGAAAAAATGAAGTAAATGTTTCCTATGTTGCTCTTCCAAATCCTGATGAAAATTGCACACCAACAGATCTAATCTTCTTTTTGATTATGGCTTGGCAGAAGTACTTTCAGCAGTCTCTTCTATCGGCTCAACACTTTGGTGCATATACCGCAGTGATCTATATTTTGGAGCATCCTGCAGCAGAATGATCATAACATGGAAAGTTAAGAGACAATTAATCCTGTCATTATTTCCAGAGCATGGCAAATAGCTGCCTTAATGTTCACTTATCTGTAATTCTGAAAATATCCTTAACAGGAGTGGACAGAAGATAAACTTGGTTATCTACTAGATAACACAGAGTAAATCAGCAAACGTTCAGATTTCTAACTTCAGCAGTAGTGAGAGCAAAACAACTGCTTCCTAAAATAACCCAGAGGTATATTTCTAAGCTACAGACTTTATTCAGGTCAGTTCGGTCTAAGGCTTAGGAGAGTGCAACAAATATCTCTCAATTGCTACCATTTTTCCATTTACATTCATTGTTCTAAGAATATACATACATGTATAAATTCTATAAGCCTGAAATCTGCAACAGAAGAGAGGTAAGGTGGGTAGCCTATGTTTTTACTGGGCTACTCCTTCATGTTC